AAGTTTTAACCTCTAAATTTCGTTTACCATATGGCCAGAAAAGATTATTTCATATTCACAGAGATCGTAATTATTCACATAATGATAATTGAACTTCGTGAAAATATCGTTTCATGATCATTAATTAAGCAGATACCGCCATTTAAAAATTTTAAACAAACTAGCCGTATGCACAACATAATAAACTTATTGAGTTGTATCTACAACACACGGCTAATCGAAATAACACAACACAGTGCCACTATTCATAGATTAGACCACTGCAAAAGTGAAAACAGTAAGCTGTCTATTGGAAGTGTACCCCTCGTCAGTGCTGTGGGAAGTAAAACAGACCTTCCGGTAGCCCTATTAATAGTACTGTATAGTGCGAGAAGTACTGAGTTAATCCACTCGACAGCACTTCCTAATCGGTTAAATTGTTTCATCCACATAACGATCACGAAAGGCATTGACAAGTACACACTTCCGTGATACGACCCCTCATCAACAAGCAACAGTCCCAGATAATACGTTAATTTCTCCTGTCAAAGAACGAGGGTAATTTTCCCTCGAGACCACAATAATCATCTGATTGATAGGTCGATTTATTTATTAATAACATAGGGGACACGCACCGCGTTGTCCATACCATACCAGTCGGTGAAATATAGTGGCATATTGTCTGCTTATAACATCCCCTTGACAGAAGCTATGTATAATTTTGGATTTTGTTACGTTTTTTTTGTGCTCAGGGTATGGGAATATTTGAAGGCATTGGAGCAATAAGGTACCTAAGCCACATTGACTTAATTTCTCGAAATCTAAAGTAATAGGTTTTATGTGAATCCCGAAATCATGTTTCTTGCTTAATTTCGATTGCAATGCTACAAAAGGGGTACATTCTGAGCAACAAAGATTTGTTCACAACAGAATAAAAAATACAACGCATTTTTGTAAAATAAATTAATTTTTGAATATAAAGTAGCTTGGTGCCTTATTGAAAAAGGTGTACTCCAAGGGTAATTTAAAAATGGTTTCCTTCATAAACATCTGATACGGATCTTCATTGTTTGACTTGAAACAGCACATTTCATTAAATTTGAGGGACTCCTTATCTACGTCAAAGTTCTTTTTCGTGACAGACATGGAGTCCAATGCGTAAAAGCTCTGATTTTCAACTACGACTGTGTCAGATGCGTTCTCTATTAGGAAAAAACACAAGCCACATGAATAACGTTAGTAAAGTCGCAAGTCATAAGCCGCAAATTTGTTTATTCACCCAAGTTTCTCGCTTAAAGTCAAAAGAACTACTGTCAGTCAGAGGATAGTATCTGTCATTCACACTGTCATCTGAACTAAGTCGAGAACCGTCTTTGTATCATTGAAACATCCATAGTTTTCGCCATTGACTAATTTGCGTTTGGCGCCCATTTTGGAATAAGTGGCTTATAGCTTTCTTGGCGTAAAAAAATGTGTGGGATATCATGGTCGTTCAAAACTGCCATTTAGAAATTATAGCAACATATCAGCAAATTGTCTAAAAAACAACTTTGTATATAGAACGCGTGTGCTTTCAGTTAAAAATGTGGTTTCTTATTCCAATGTAGCTACATCGTACTGTACCAAGCCTTTCATTTCATGATTGGTAGGGGAGAGTCCTAGGGTCACATTTATAAATGTTTCTTGAAGATTGAGTACCGTTTGAGAAATGATCTTTCCTTGGATTTCAGACAAACAATAACGCTTCCCTGAGGCGTTCAGGGGAGGACATAACATTTGTATTTCACAGTAAGCCGTAACATTTGAATCACATGCTGTCATCGATGTCGGAAAGATTTTTCTATTTCATCATTTTGATAACGGGAAAGAGTACAAAATTACATTTAACCACCTCATGCAAGATCTGCATATTGCTCAGCATATTTAATCCAAGCGCCTTGAAATATTCAAACGGTATATCCTAAAACTATAATAATTAGAACCGTACATGTCTATGTCTGAATCAGAGCTGGAGATCGCAGCTTGATTTTCTGTTGGAGAGTCGCGACTCGACCGCTTCGCGTCGTGCCGTCTGTTGAAGTCGACGACCCTTGCCGGGGCGCAGATGGGCTAAGGGGCCGTTGGAGCAGTTGACCCCCGGCGGCCCCCGATGCAGACACTGATTTTCGGCGGACACGGCAGACATTGCCCCCGGAAGCGCGGATGCTGAGAAACTTTCATCCCTCTCTTTTTTTTCAACCCGAATTTTCAATAGTAATTCGTACGACAAAGAGAACCTACCGCTATCTTCAGACCATACCAGTTTAATATACAGCAGAGCTCCTTTCGATTCTTTTGATTTGATGGTTTCGATTCCAGCAGCGGTATCGATTCCTTCGACACGTTCACGATTTCACTTCCGGCCCCGGAATCGTATCTTTCGATTCGTTCAAGATTCCAATTCAGGACTCGAAATCGATTTCTATGATTAGTTTACGATTCCGATTCCGGCCTCGGAATCGATTTCTTAGATTCGTTCACGTTTAAAAGTCCGGCATCGGAACCGTATCCTTGAATACTTTCTCTCTTCCGATTCCGGCCTTGGAATCGATTTCTTCGATTCGTTTAAGATTCCAATTTCAGCCTCGGAATCGATATCTTCGATTGGTTTAAGATTCCAATTTCAGCCTCGGAATCATATCTTTCAATTCGTTTACTATTCCGATTTCGGCCTCGGAATCTTATCCTTCGATACGTTAACGATTCCGATTCCGGCATCGGAATCGATTTCTTGGATTCGTTTACGATTTCAATTTCAGCCTCGGAATCGATATCTTCGATTCGTTCACGATTCCAATTTTAGCCTCGGAATCGTATCCTTCGATTTGTTCACGCTTCCGGCCTCGGAATCGAGTTCTCCAATTCGCTCACGATTCCAATTTTGGTCTGGGAGCCGATTCTTTAGATTCGTTCACAATGCCAGTTCTAGCCTCGGAATCGTATCCTTCGATACGTTCACGATTCCGATTACGGCCCCGAAATCGATTTCTTTGATTGGTGACGATTCCAAGTCTGACTTTGGAATCGTATCCTTCGATAGGACTACGATTCCAGTTCCGGCCTTGGAACTCAGGTCTCGGAATCGTATCTTTCGATTCTTTCATGAGTCAGATTCTGATCTCGGAACTGGTTCCTTCCATTCGTTCGTGATTCCGATACCTGATTCCAATTCATTGTAATTTGTATGCAATGCAACGGAATGAAACCTACGCGATACCACCGATCGTGATGTTGCGAATTGTAGTGCGAAGTTGCCTTATCTAGAACATTGATGTGGATTCAATGCTGGATGGTATGTTTTACATACCGTAATTTATAAAAAGTCTTCCAGGTTTTCTATAAATGTCCGTCCAAAATTTGTTCCGCATCCTCTAAACCTGCGTTTCTGGTTAATTAGAATTATTTAGTGGGACGTTATCAATACCAGAAGAAAACAGATTTAACCTGCTTTCTTCGAAAGACTAAAACTGAAAATTTTAAACAAACAATATTCCAAACTCGAAACTTTTGCGTTATGCGTGAATAATATGTCCTCATTAAAAATATAATATTAAAAACATTAAATGGCAACTAAGCATATATTCAACAATCGTCTACACTTCAAACTCTATTACTCCACACCAAATTATCATTTACATCGTTTTCATTTGGAGCCGCTGCTGTCAAAAGCGTTAATGCGACTATTCTTATTGCGTAAGCAGCAATATTTGAATCTAAGAAGAATCGTTCATCTAAAACAGAGTTCCAAATCCGATCCGGCCTGGTTGGAATCGAAACCGCCGAAAACAAAATCGTCGGCTTCGAAACCACTGGGATCGATTCCTTCGTTTTCTTTGGAACGAATCGTTCAGGATCGCCCCAGCGTATACAGTACATATTGGGTACTCCTGTTCCCTAATCAAGGACAAAAATGCAAGGTGTGATTTTTTATAAAATTTGATGAAACGTCTTCTGTAGATTTTCGAAAAAGCACATTTCATTAGCAAAAAGTATATATGAGAATCTTAAGAGTGCCTTTTTTAATTAATACGAAACAATTAAAAAGTGTTTGTATAAAATAGATAGTTATACTCCATAACTAGTGCCTCCTACATGCTATGAAAAACAATATGATCTTATTTCTGATCCCCAGAAAGCCTAATTCCTAATCTTCACGTTGATGTTTCAAAAACAGTTTGAGTTGTAGAGAAAAAATATCTTGAAAATTATTCTTCAACACCCTGTATCTCAGTTACGAGCAAAATTTTACTAAACTTTATTTGGCTTGATACAGTATGCTATTAAAGTTCGGACATTCTTTTTTCAAAACAACTACGAGCAGCGAAAACCTAAAAAAGTAGTTGAAGGAAAATACTCACTATTAATTTGAGAAGGAATTTAAAGTACTGCCCTGTCACACATTTTGTTCGTAAATACCATATGAAGTTGTCGTCGTTCGATTGAAAAACACATATTTGTTAACTTCTACCTTTTGCAGTATTTGAGGCAATCTAGGTCGTCTACTGTGTTCACATTAACTGCCTTTGCGTGATATAAACAAACCGTCGCGGCTACGGATTAAAACATCCAGGACAACGATCTGAATACACTCGCGAAGTATCAGTAGGAATCTGCCAATTTCGGGTTTTCTAATTGGATTTGTAAATGAATTAATTTACACACCGCGCTGAGCCTGATCTGGATTCTGACGCCAACGTATGTCTTGCCTTTTCACGTTGAATTCATATTTTTGGAAGCTTAATATTTCGGTGTTGGTATTATTTGTTACTAGGAAAGTTGCTTATTTTTACGTTATCTATGTGATGTGCAAAGGAAACCTCCAATACGCCACACTATATGTGTAACTTTTTTCATATTTTAATGGGCTGAGTGTACCTTTCAGTTTTTCTGATAGCATTGTGTAACTCCCATTATATTTTCGCAAAGTTAGAGTATTTAAAAAACAACTACTATTGTAAAGTTTATTTAAGACAAAATTATTTCTTGATTTCATGTAACAACTGATAATTTCAAAACAGTTTTATAACTTTTAAATATAAAAAAAAAATATTTATTGGATTATTCCTACCAGATTTAGGATTTATTTTCAGTCTCTACTTTCGCATATAAAATAGGAGCTTGCATCACAAGCGCAATCGTTCCACTGCAACGTTTTAGAAATAGTATTGAAACGTAGTTGAAGACAGTTTTCAGTTCCACCAGAGTTGTTTGGTTCTCCTTTTTCCCAGTTTGTATAATGGATTGGTCGACCGGTAGAATCCCATCTCCAGAAATTGTCATGCCTTCTACCCGATGTCCAGAAAAGTACGACTTCTGACGACTGAACTAAAACAAAAGTTCGTAATTGGATACGAGTACCTTACAGCCCTTAGATCATTTTCTAGATCTAGATACATATTAGTAATATAGCTAACATCGTGTACCTACAATTTTTATGCCTTAGTATCTTGCAACAGTTGACCCTTTTTCCTTTAGTATAACAATAGGAATAGCTACTGTAGATACGACTTTTTCGCTTAGGATCATGTACATACAAATTTTATGCCTTAGTTGCATTTTTTTTGCTTCAGTATATATATAATTCAGCACTTCAGGCCTGAAGACCCATGGCTTCTATCTTTTGGACAACTTCTTTCTACGCTTTTCTGTTTTTGGTGTTTTCCTCCCAGTCTGGTATGCCTAGTCTTCGTATATCCTCTTTGACACTTTCCAGCCATTTTTGCTTCGGTCTTCCTCTTCTTCTTCTATTGCCTTCTCGCCCAAACAAAACTTTTTTGGCATTCCTATAAGACGGCATTCTGTAAACGTGTCCTAGCCAGCACACTCTTTGAGCTCGGGTTTTTTTGTATAATACAGGGTTGGTTATACATCTCCATCAGTTCTTTATTAGTTCGCTTTCTCCATGTACCGTCGTTGTTTTTTGTGCACCCATATATTTTGCGTAACACTTTTCTTTCCCAGCGTTGTAATTTCTGTACCTTTTTCTGGCTTGACACCCAAGCTTCACTGCCATAAAGTACTGATGGTTGGATAACCGATTTATAGATCCTTTCCTTTGATTTCCTTGATATCCACCGTGAGTTTATCATCTTGCTTAAAGCCCCCATTGCTTTATTCCCTTTTGCTATTATTTTTTCAGTTTATGAATCTTCTTCTGCTTCATTTGTTATTATGACCCCTATATATTCAAATTGATTCACCTTCTCGAAACAGTATTCTCTGCAACTACTTTTTATTGTTAACTTTCTTTCGTCACTTCCTCTCATTTCTAGTAGTTTGTCTTCATTTATATGAAGCCCAAAACGTTAGGCAGTTTCTTCTAACCTTCTAAACGCCTTTTCAAGTTCTGCATTGGACCTGCTTATTATTGCTATATCATAGGTATAAACAATCAACTGATGTTTTCTGTAGTACTCCGTCTGTTTATATACCACAATTACGTAAAGTAGCCTCCAGCGTAAAGTTAAATAATGTTGTAGATAGCGGGTCCCTTTGTCTCAAACTTCTCCTTATGCCAAAAACTCTAGATGTTTCCCCTTCCAATGTGACATTGTTCATTGCTTCAGTATAGCAATAGGAATAGCTACTGTAGATACAAATCTTTCGCCTAGTAACAAAAGCAAGTTAGCTGTAAGTAGTAAGTGTCAATTTGTTGACTAGATACTCCCTAGTGTGCAAATTGGTTGAGTAAGTACCTAGCAAATAAGTGTGGTGGTGTGCTGATTGTGTGTATTGGTCTACATGTGTATAAAATCAGTGATATTAGCTAGGTATGTCTATTAGCTGTACCAGACGGGTTATTTGTGATGTTCTTTCTGAAGACAAATTATGTTCAAATTTATAAATTACGATTTTGAGAGATCACCACCTCACCCGCGTGGTGTGTAATTAAGCCAGAATTACAGAAAAAATAGGAATGACGCATCAGACACCAAAACATGTTCCCAGTGTCTCATATCTAGGCGCTGATTCGTATTTTCTACTTGATATCCCAAATTAAATTTATATAAAATTTAAATGTGACTGGAAATAATAAATAATGTAAAATGTAATAACTTTTTTACGTTTCATAAATATTCATGTCTGTGCCATATTTTCTCACCTGTTGGTTGTAATGTACTTCTCCAACCATAGATTTTCTTTACTTATTTCTCTCATTTTTGAATATGTAATTTCCAGGATTAATAAGAAAAAGTGGATACGCAACTAATTTCTAGCTTTGCATACATCTCAAGTAAGTGTATTTGAGACAGGGAACCAATGGAATTATCATCAACACAGTTTAATAGCATACAAATCCTCATCATGCACTGCCATTTCCTTCCATTATGTAATGCCATCTCTGAAGCAGATTTTACATCACATGGAAGCCAAAAAACATTGATAGTTGAAGCGTCATGACGTTTAGGCAACACGTACAGCTACAGAACGGGTTCACATCAAGTGAACAACAGCTGGTTCTAAGTTGAAATCTTGTAGATAATCCTACATAATGTCACAAAAAAACTTATATAATGCCAAAAAAACCCGACATAATGTCACTTTTCAAAATTCGTAATATCCCTGTCGGTCACCACTGTGACTGCTAGATACATATGAAGGGTACAGGGAAAAAAGATGAATGTCACAAATTCGGTGTTTTGTAATTAGAACCGGCAACATGTAGATGACTAATACAATCCCATGATGTATCGGAAACACGCAAAAACAATGTCAGTCCCTAGTTATACTCAATTGAAAACTTGCCGTGCAGGGAAAAAAGATGAATGTCACAGCCGTTGTATGAGAAAAAAAAGATGAACGTCCACTGATCGTCACCGAAACTAGTAGCTACTACAACAATTTATCATACACCAATCTGCGACGAAAGAAACGTTAAATAATCATTTTTAAGCGGTTACCACTAATTTTGTTTTCTTTGTTCTATATTCTTTTGAATAAAGCTTTTTTGGTTCATTGTTTTTTCCTATCCCAATTAATAAAATATTTAGAAATAATTCTGTGTTTGAGCTATTGAGGTTAGAAAATCATATTTTTCTCATGTTCTAGGCCCTGTGTAATAAATTTCTTGTTAAGGTAGTTCTCATATTAGAACAGATCGTAAAACCTAAGATAGGCTGGTTAATCAACCCTTAGATTTTACAGGGTGTCGCATATGATGGACTGCTCATTTCTAATCTCAATATTTAAAAAAAGTTGAATTCAGTCATGAACGCTAACACATAAAAAATGTTTAAAATCATGAAAAGAACAATTTTGAATACAAAAATAAAAAGGATTTTCCATTAAAAAATCTTTGTTCTGCTTTCACTTTGGGACTACCCTGTATATCAAAAAATATTTTTGTATTTGTAATTTAACTTTTTTCCAATTTCTTATAAGGGGCCGTTCAACGTCAATATACACTTCGAATAGGGATGTATGTTGGTTCAGAATATCCAACGGCTTGCGGTTGTCCTAGCATATTGGAAGTGATTTTGATACCAGCATAAACAGATGGTATTAATTTATAACGTTCAGCGATTACCCAATCCTGATCAGGCAATTTGATTCTATATTCCATGTGCATTAGAAGAGGTGCTTGCTTATTTGCCGCAGTTACGCCAATAGGGACTCGAGCTTTATCATGTTGAGATATGAAAAATACTTGATCTGGTGCAAGTATGGATGCTATGTTCTCTAAATAATGGATTGATGTTTCAGCGAACTTGCTATCCAAGTGGCTCTTGTGGTGATCAATTTGAGCCCGAATGAGCTTAACAGGGACTGTCGATACATGTCTTCGTCCCTTTACAGAATTAGATTTTCTGGGAATCAAACGAAGGTATGTCCTACTGCGACTAATGTCAAATCCTATTTTACGTAATTCTTGTGTGGGTTCATCAAGAGTTTTTACGCTGCGAATTGATTCCGTTCGTCTTCTATCATCTGCTGCACTCCCAAATAAAGCTATATGTATATCCGCGATTGTTTTCAATAGTGAATGTTGATTGCTTTCAAGATTAGGACGTCCCACTGAATCCCTAAGAAATAGTCTACTTTTTATTTCTGGATTTTCATGTCAAATATCTTCTAACTTTCTTTTCATACCATCCCTGTGTTTCTTCTGGGCAACTGCGTTTTGAACCTTCCTGTTTAAAAACTGTTTTGCTGTTTTTAATTCCTCGCGCAACTTAATGATCTGTTTATCAACTTCAGCACAGCTTGGCATAGTATCTCTGGCAGAATACAAAGCATTCAGATTTTTTTCGAGTAGAGCAATCTTATTTTTCATAGCTTCGTGAGAAGGTTTTGCTCTCTGTTTATCTGTATTTTCATTAATTTCGCATTGCTGTTGTGATTCATTACCGGGTTTTATTTTATCTTCTTCCTCCTTTTTAATATTTGAAGCTGACTGTATAATTTGTGTTTTTCCTGCAGGTTTACAGGTTGCCTAAAAATAAAAACTTTCTATGGCTTCTGCTAAAGATGCTCTTATTTATTTTATTAAGTTACATAAATACAAAGTATGGCAATATATATGGTAAATACAAAACCCTATGGCTTTAAATCTAATATGTTTAAACGAGCAATTCGTTCCGGTCACAAAATACAGGGTGTTAGTTTTCAGTATATACATATGTATAAAACTAACATCCTATACTTTGACGAAATCAATCATAAGAAATAGATCTATAATATAATGAATATTACCTCTATACTTTGAGATAGGCCATAATATTTTCTAATCAGTAAAGAGAAACTTTTTGGCGATTTCTAATATTTCTGGTACTCATAGGTACCTAAAATGATTTCATCACTCACCTTAGAAAAAAAATTTAGTAGATTGGATTTATTCTTAGTCGCCGCTTGCAATTCTTCTTCGATTCTCTTAGATACAATAATATCTAGTTCCTTGTCGGATTGTGCTTGTAATTTGTAATTTCGCCACACTTCGTTAACTAACTTTTGTACATTTTGCCCTTTCGTACTTGTATGAGATTTTTTAAAACGTTGAAACAATTTTTGGTATAACTTGGATTTTGTCTATGTGAAAAGACATCTTATTTAAACATTATACTTTGGCTAATGGAATCAATGGTAACACAAATGTTAACTTGCTTTACTATGCTTACAATACGTCTACTAGCTTTAGTATCCAAACGAAACAATACACTGATAGAGGAAATTTAGACAAGTGAACACCGTGCGGTAATTCCCCTACTCGGTTCTAAAGCGAGTAGGGGAATTACCGCGCGCTGTTCACTAAACGTATGCATTATTTGCGGGAATCCCCGAAAATGCGTTTCGTTTTCAAGCAAAGATAATGTGAGGGTTGCCATTCGTGTAAAAAAGTAGATAACTACCGATGACGTAATCATCATCTGGACTCCCCTACCCGCCATGTCATCTATGAACAACGAGTCTAGGAGTCTTCAGACTTTTAAATTCACTTTTCTCGAAACTTACTTTTTGTGACATTCATCTTTTTCCCCTGTACCCTTCATATGTTAAAACAGGTTTTCTTGAACCGACCGAAAAATTTAATATTATTGGCCATAGTCATACAGCTTTGGCGTTCTAGAATGGTAAAATAGCAAAAACCCTCGATGTCGGTTACATTCGGACCGATGATGGAACATTTCCTTATTGCCAAAATACCAGGTGTCATTATATAATAACGTGTATGCATGAACTTTAACAATCAAATTTACAACTACAATGTAGGGATTGTAGAAAAAATCTTATGTACAATTCTATTCTAGTTCTAACTAGGTATTTTATGAACGGACATTTTCATAGACAAATAATCATTTTATAGATGGGATTTGTTGAGGTACATTATAATGGGTGCTTTTATATTTTCCACTTACAGAAAGCTTCTAATCCAGCTATTAAATTTTCACTCTCTTCGGCGCTTTGGATACTGACCAACTTCATATTATGATAGTTGCAGAAAAGGTCAACTTGTTCTTTATTACCCTAAAATACAGAATTATTCATAAATAGTTTCAGTATCATCAACGCCTCATGTGGAGAGATTCATTCAATAATAATTCAAAAATCATGTTTAAATATTAAGAAAATCATCACAGTCGATCTTAGGCATATTGATTAAATCGATTGCTCACCGGTAAAATTGTTCCAAAATAGTAGAGAATATTATTGTATCTCACTAGTGGCAAATATGGTGTGCTGCTTAAGTTCACATTCACACCTCGGTGTGTCCCAGGAAATCCTAAACACAGTTTCTTTATTGTCACATTTATGTAACTGCTGCAGATGAAACCGTGGATATGCATAACTTAAAATATTTTAGGGAAGAGTACCATCTTTGTATATTTTGTCCCTTATTACTAGCAAATTTAAAAATGTTTCAAACCCCACTTTATATTATCCAACATTTGCTCTACCTACCTGCTTCAATAACTACTGTTGTGTTGTGAAAAGTCTGTAACTGCAAGCCAGAAGATACTGCCACAAGAGCGATTACAACTACGCAAGATTTTGAATCCATTTTAAAGGAAATTGCACTATGGAATGATTGTCTTTCGCTTTGATTTGTATAGTTTTGCACAATGAGATTATGCTCAAGTGTTTCGCTTATCTTTTGAGTGATTAGTTGCAATATATGTTTAGTATCCTACAAAAATGTCATTAATATAGGTATACATATTTTTATGACCTTCATAAATTGCATTATATTGATTAGTTTCTCATATAGTAGTTGTTGTCATCTGTATTGATATCTTAATGATTGAGTAAATATATTTTGAAAATATATTTTTTGTTGAATTTGATAATTGCCGTTCACACAGTCAATCATTGTTGGAATAAAAGAATTAGGCTCATGAACTTTAATCCTTTTCAATGTTTATTTGCAATTTAATCTAATATTTGCAATATTTATCATCTAATTATATCTATTCTTATTTGTTTGCTTGTAATATTTTTGTTTTTGATGTCTATACTCTTATCTGTTGAGCTTAATGTGTATATAGTCATATGTTGTATTGTTGATCCACTAGTAATATACTTTGACATATTCTATTTCATCCGTTGACGATCCTAAATTAAATATTTTTTAATTTGAATTTGAATTAGCATTTGATTGCAAAATAAATTATGGTTTCTACAACTCAGCAGAAGCTGCCAATTTCAATCGACCCTTAGCTAACATTGCTATTGCTTGGCAATACATCTTATTCACTCGGTTGTTAAAAAAATTAATTTCTGCAAATTCAAACGATGCTTAGGTATAGTTACTACAGCAGTTTCAGCATAATTTAAGACTTACATTTTTCGTCTCTAATTCTAAACAACGGCTGCTTATTTCCTTCATAGTTACACCGTGAGAATAACAAATTGAACATGAAAAGCAAGAGATCACTCTTCACGGATTATAAACACGTAATTATGCAATTTATAGACTGTTGTGTCACAGTTCCTGAAATGAGGGTATTTCTTTATACAATCGGGCTTCCCAATTTTTTGTAAATCGGAATATTTCGAGCGGAAATATTGTTGAATATGCCACCATGTCACTATGGGTGACACAATAGCGAATAATATAAAAATGTAGATATAAATAAACTGTGCAACTGCGGGTTCACCTATATGAAAAAATATATATTTGGAGTCGGAATAAGTATGGCGATCAACCTATGGGAAAATTTTGTAATCGTTATAGTTTTTGACGTTGCTCACTATGCATCTCTTCCTTTTCGGTACCTCTTTTCTTTGAAGAAAATGGCAACAAGTAGGTTGACTCTGCACTTCTCACGCAACGTCGCCATCAGTTCAGAAAGGATTATGTTCAGCACAAATTAGAACCAGTGAGAAAGAATTTAGCTACGAATATGTACAACAGTGAAATTAAATGGACCAAGTCAGTCAGACAAGTCCACAGACATTCTCCCCTGCCGGTAGTTACTATCCATCTGGCAGCGTTGTCCCTTTCCACAGCTGCGCGGCATTATTGCAGTGATTTTTTTGTCTACTGTAGTATCGTTCGACTTTTTAGAGGCCAATGTACCGGGAAATCTATGATGAGTGAAATATGCCCTAAAGGTGCGTAGAATTATCGTGGTTTGGAGCGTATAAATATACTAACCTCAAAAAATTGAGATATATCCTGTGGTACTCCTTATTTTTAACCATTCCACCAAGTTTGACCGATTTTATTGTTTCGCGTTTTTGCCGCTAGCGTCGCCACCACTGGAAGGATTTTGATTTTTTCGTCCTTGGCATAGTAGTTCCCTTGGTTGGAAGTTTCATCAACATCCAAGTTAAAGGCGGGACAAGGATTAGCGCACAGACAGACGGACCGACGGAAATGAATGTTGAGTGGGTTGGTTATTCGTAATGTGCAATTATTGTAAATGTCAATATCTAAAAAACAATATCTCATTTTCAATTTTTGAAATATTTGATAAACTGTATTACATCGTTGTGAACTGATGTATTTGATATATTTTTTATTAACATTCCTGCATACGCTAGTATTGTACTGCTAGTGTCCATCACTGATTTCAGTAGACCTGTTATACAAGCAGTGGCGCTCCCAGGATTTCAGTCTGGGTGGGGTAAAATGGAAAGTAAATTCTCAGTGTGACGTACTGAAGTGTTATAATGATTTAACATTAAAAGCATGGACATATGCAGCCATATGAATTTGTTACAGTAATTTCTGTAGAAAATACTTAATTTTTTTAATTTTGAATCTTACGAAGTCGAAGTGTAAATAAAGCAAACCAAGCTCGAGCAATCTTCATATATTAAAACAAAAATGCAAAATAATATAATCTATCTATCTAGAGACTTTTCTACATAAGAATGTCAGGCAAAACAACAAAAAATACATCTTCATGAAAAAAATAACAATAACAAATATGTTAAGACTTCTATAAAGTATAACACTGAATGTAAATCAAACTAAAATTCTTAATCATGAGAAAAATACAAAAAATATTCATTGCATAACTACATTCTCTTAGCCAGTCTCAAAAAATAAAAACATATAAACTATGAAACTACATCAGTTCACAGTCTCAAAATAAAACAATCATTACATTAGCTTAGAAAGTGATTTGAACAGAATTTGAACAGACTTTTATATCAAATCTGCTGGCCAATAAATAAAACCACATATCTTGATTGGATACTTTGGAAAAGATCACCGTGGTGGTTTAAACGTAAGTAAACCCTTAACTAACTTACATCTGCTTTTTTATTTATTGGCCAACAGAAGGGAGATGGATTTGAGATACAACCTTAGGCAAAGTTCAGGTGTTATCGTATTACAAAATCATAGCGCCTAATCTGTTTGCTGGTGAACCGATCTATGATTGTATTCACGTCTATTTTAATATCCCTATGCATATACAAAAGAGCTAAACCCACTAATCGCTCTTGTAACATAGTGGAGCGCAGCCAAGTTTTTATCCTCTTTATGGGAGAAACTTCTTTCAGATGTCGCAACACTTACCGGTAATGAAAACAATCATTGTAGGCATCTATTAATTGAAGGAAAAATTTTTTCATTACATGATAAGTACAGTGACATTCCACTGTCTATAATATCTTCTGTACGTGACTTCCAAAGGTCAAATTCGGCTTTTAATCTGGTACTTATTAAATTTTTGTTTTCGTTACTATTTAGTCCATGCAAGTATTTAGAGATTGTTTCTAATATGTCCATTACTTCAGCTTCAGTTTTTGAATTAAATACTGACGCAAAGAAAATATTAAAATTGTATATATTCAAAGATCTTTCATTGAACCGGTATACCAAACCCTGTAATATATTATCTAGCAAAGGGACATAACATATAGTTTCAGTCTGTAATGATTTTCCTTGTCAGACGTAACTATGTTCGGTCTGTTCATTTGCCTGCTTGTTATTCTTGGCAGTCAGTTCAATACCCAGGGTTTCATGTGATTTCATTATAGATGCGAATAGTATTCTAAAGTGTTTTTCGGAATTTGCGCGTCTTTCTTGTACAACTGAAATAATATTTCCTATGAGTTTGACAGCGTATTTTTTGTCAATTGTTTTTGATTGTAAAATCTTATTCAGGTTGACTGTTAAAGCTAATGTATCACTCAAACACTTTAGTGATACGATAAATTAGGTGGAAGTAATGGCAGTCTTCAAAGACTCCGCTTTTGAAGAAGCTTCGCGGTCTTTCCAATTTGATATAATATTTAGTACCTCTACAATTTTCTCGAATTTGCTTTCAAATTGGAGCACAGAATCATGTCTCTCGGTCCATCGTGTTTCGCACATACTATGAATCTGATATCCGTCTAGTTTTCTTTTTAATACTGTATTTCTTTTAGCGGATGTTTTGAAGAACGCAATTACTTTCTTCATTATACCTAAAGTATTTATTACTGCTTGGACACTGCTGCTTTTTGAAATCGAAAGATTCAATGCATGATTTGCGCATTCGCTTTTTAGAGCATTTGGGAAAAATTTTGCAATTCCATTACAGCGCCGTTTTGTTCACCTAACATTAGGTTTCACGTATCAGTATCAATGCCCACACATAGTTCTGAGGCTAAGTTATTAGTTTTAATGAAATGCTTGAGTGTTTGAGTAAGAATTTGACCTGTGAGTTTGGGATCCATTGAATCTTCATCAAAATTTGAGTAGCAATCCAAAAATCCCATGAAGTCCTCGTAAATATGTTTTTGATAACAATACTGCAATACGATTGACATTTGTTATTTATGGATAATGTCTGTAGTTTCGTCAAATATAATACTGTAATACTGAATTTGCCTGACTCGACTTAAAACTATATCCAAGATTTATTCGCCACAACATTCTATAATTTCATTTTGGATGCGGCTGCTTATGTACGTTTCATGCGCTTTGGGGTCTCTTAAGTTTTTTTTTTTCAATAAATTGTCGCCGCTCTCGACTTTAAACCATATTTGTTCTCTAAAATTCCCTTCATCGTCGTCATTCGTGCTGTCATTAGAAAAAAGTCTATGCCCTCTAAGTGGTATATCTTGGAGACCTAAAAAAATTATGGATTCTATTATAGGAGTCATCTTTACCGATTTTCTGATACTTGCTTAATTCGCTCTGAACCTATTATATTTTTTATATCTTCTGGATTTTCGTAAAAGTTTGTAGCATCTGAAACTGCTTCTGTATGATATATTGTGTTCTCTTGTGTCTTCATAATCACCGGTTTTGCCATACAGTTTCGAAAATTTCTTAGTGGTACGGTATCAAGTTTTCTCAATTTAGTTGATTTATGTACTCCTAATTTTGCAAGAAGCACGCAATATTTACAGAAAAGCGCTTGTAGTTCCTTTGAATATGACAGCCAAGGAAATTTCTCAACCCGACAATAGCAGCCGTCAACCAGCACTAAAAGTTACACAAATATTGTCAAATAAACGGCATTATTGGTTTCCACGCACTCAAGTATGTCATAACAAAGAACCTTTTCTATTTGGAAAACAAGATTTCTTAATTTCACGCAATTTTCAAAAACTAACTATATAATTTGCCATCTCCGACGAACGAAATGCACTGAAGTGCTTATACTCGTATACGAGACAAAATAGACATAGATGATAATGATAG